AGCTCAGTAGATTCTGTCATATCGGTCATTGTTAAAACTGTCTTTGTTTTGATGCTACTTTTCGACATAGGAAAAGTATGTCAGACAAAAAATATTCACCAAAAAATAAATATTTCTTTGCCAGCTTCAACAACGACAGGGAATTAAGTTGAGATGATAAAACAAAGGATTATGTTCACAGAATTACCGTAGGTCTTGTACATTCGTTACATGAGGTCACACAACTCGGGTAATTTCAGGGTGAAAATTTGCATATTTGAGCGGTCGAACGAAAAAAATTATTTCTCGAAAACTAAAATAATTTTTTACAAAAAAACTACACCACAATTATTAGAACATATTGGGCTACAAAATATGAAAGTAGGAGTGAAAACAAATTTGGGTGACTTGCCGCTGTTTGTTTGATGCATGCTGACATTAGCTCTTAACATGCGCAACCTTTTCTGCGCATAACATTAATTGCGACATCCAAGATGGCAGCCGTTCTTCCCGCTAGCGTGAAAAGAACAGACAAGGGCCGCTTTTGCAGAGCGAAAGCTTTTATTCGTAATAGGAATGCCGCAAATCGGCCGACAGCTTCCTGGTCTGCTCTCAAAAAACAAGAAAATGAAAAAAGTGCGCGTGATCTGGAAGTCTGCAGTGGATTTCCACTTCGCGGCCGTCGAGTCGGTAGAATTAAATGTCCTCGCTGAGGCTTTGGACGGGGGCTGTGAAGCCTGGGGGCAGCTCTACGGCTCTCCAACTGCATAAAAGAAACAGTGTCTGGGCTAGGATCAGTCTTATACATATGCTGTTCAAATTCCGAGTGTGGAGAGACAAATATCTGTCGAACAAACAAGACCCACCGTAGCACCCGAACAACGCGAGGGAGACCAATCTTTGATGTAAACACGAAGCTCGCTGCAGGTTTGTTTACATTTAATTTTGCTAAAAATATTGTTTTCCACAATTAAAGCATCCATTTAACATCTAGCCAATTTTTTAATGAGTTGAATCGACATATCTATAGGGATGCTACACGCAGGCATAGGTCCTACTCACGTAAACGAGTTGTTGTCATCTATCAACGTACCATCACTTGGAGAGTCCACGCTTAAGGCTCGCGAGAGGGAAGTAGGGCCCCAAATTGAAAAGTTGGCAAAGCGAAAGAAATCTGTGGAAAGAGGATAATGAAAAGGAAAATGTGGCCATAGGAGCGTCAGTTGACATGTGATGGCAAAAAAGGGGAAAAGCCCACAACAGCCTGACAGGTACACTGCAAATTCTACATCTGAAAGAATTGAAAAGGGTGCATTTGGGTATGCATTTTCATAGAAAGCTGTTATTTTTCTCTGTGGATTGTGCTTTAGCTAACTGACAGTTTTGGTGTTGGCCAATGGTCAAAGTTAATTAAATAAAATATATCTGTATTTTCACCATTAGGTGTTGGCTCCATGGTTGACCTAAAAACTGGCAAGGTGATTTGCTATGGTTCAAGGTCAAAAAGGTAATGTATATACATATATTTTGACTACTAGTACCTTGTTGTAAACAACAAGAGCAATGTTTTTTTTTTTCAATTTGACCACAAAAAGTACAGAATCATTCAACATATTACAGCACCCATATTTGCCTCCTCTTGAAAGTGTTACCCAGGACCTTTACCCATAATGTCTTTTGTAAAGGTGTGCAACATGTGAAACTGCCAGCAGACAATCAAAAAAGCCTCGCATACACGACTGCAGGCTCAACTGGGAAGGCTCAACTGGGAAGGCTCATCAAAAGCTATGGAAGCTGATGTTTGTGTTGATCTAGTCAAAAGGTAATTACTAACCAGGTATGTAATGATAAAAATAAAATAATAATTATAATAATAGTTGTTAATATGTTGAATTCACAGTGTTATTGCTCCAAAGAGAGACTTGTTGAATCTGTTCTTATGATATTGGTGTTACAGTAATGACACTTGAACCATGAACAGTGGAGAGTCTTACAGTACTTCACACCCTTAGTAATAATGGCTGCAAATTTGACAAGAAAGCAAACATAAAAATGCACCTATATTTTTTTTAATGTGGGTATGTTAAAAATGCAGAAAAGAAAATACTTTAAGATAATGCCTAGGTGTAGTTTGAATGCCCTTGCTTTTTATGTCAAAAAATGTTATTTTTGTGGGTTTACTCTGCTTAACAGTTGTGGAGAAAAAAATGCAGTTGCATCTGTTCTTGTTGGGGATGATGATTCATCCACCATAAGCAAAGTGAGGAAAAATGTTGAGCATGAGGTTGAAAAATGGTCAGATGTAGTCCATACTAAAAGATCCTTTGGTAGCTCACTATACCGCATCAAGACCCAAAACAAAAGCCTGACAGATATGGTGATACGGTAGTTCCAGCGATGCTTTGGTTATGCACTAAAGCAGAATAAGGATGATGAAGAAGGTGTGCGAAATGGTCTGAAGTCTATCGTGCCCCATGCTTATGGTGACCATTCTTCCTGTGGCAACTGGTGTGGCTACTTGAAAAATCCTGCATCCTACAAACACAGAGGCCTTCCCCATGGCAAGGATCTGACAGACAAAAGCTTGAGGCAGTCCCTGGAAAAGATCATAGAAGTAGGTATAGTGTACATGTATGGTGGCACAGCTTACTCCTCACAAATTCCCAATTCCCGCCATTTTACATGTAGTAGAGAAACACAACTCTAAGAAAATAGTGTCAGTGCTTATGAGTGTATTCTAAATAATAACTTTGAGGGATAAAGCTATAAGTGTTAGGGGACTATCAACCTCTTTCTTAGTTTCACAAGCTTTATAAGATACCAAATTTTAGTAAATAAAAACCATTTGCTTCTTCAATTTAGGTTTATGCTTCAAATGCCAAGAAGCTAGCTCCCCTTGGGTCAAGCCAGGCAAATACAATATCTTACAATTTGTTTATCTTTGTTGACATCAGGTAATGATGCTGAAATCCTACAAATTGCAGCAACAGATGGTAAAGATGAGTTCTCTATATGTCAAGCCTTGTCATGTAATATCACCAGAAGCATCTGTTGTGAACAAACTCACCTTCCAAAGAGGAATGCTGTTTTATGATGGGAAGCCAATCACTGATGTCATTGCAATTGATGTGGCCCTGAATAAATTCATTGAGTGGCTCAAATCAAGAATGCCTTGCATTTTAGTTGCACACAATTGCAAATCCTTTGATGCCAGGTTCTTGGTGCAAGCAGCAGAGAAAACTGGAGTCATGGATGACTTAGCTAAAACTGTTTCTGGCTTTACAGACTCTCTTCCAGCATTCAGGGAATTGCTTCCTGAAAGAAAACTCCTTAGCCAGGAAAACCTTGTACAAGATCTTCTGTGTAAATCCTATGAAGCTCACAATGCTCTTGTAGATGTGCAAACACTCTACCAGCTGGTGAACAAGTTTTTTAAATGTGAAACTGCTACAAAAGCACAGCTTCAAAGTTTCATGGGTGGCATCCTATCAGAAGCTCCTAAAAGAAAAGAATCTTCTGGTTAATACCCTACAGCCATTAATTAGAGAGAAGTACATTTCCGCCTCAATGGCCATTAAGTGTGCAAGTTCGGGTTTGGGTCTCCATCACCCACAAGTGGTGTACCAAAGAGGCAAGGAAGAAGGGGTGAAGCAAGTTCTGATGGAGAGGTTTGACAACAAACCCAGAGTCTCCTCAAACAAGCAGGTGCTGGCGCAAATATGCCAGTACTTTATAGATAATGCAAATTAAGATTGCAATTTGTGCAATTAATGTTTTGTAAAACTAATATTTACTCTTTTGGTTTGGTTGCAAACAAGAATGCAAACAGTAATTCTGAAAGGGTCTATATTAATATTGTATTCAATTCGATTCTGTGGAACCAACGACCAAGAGGATCAACTTAATTTAGTGACATGTTGAAGCATGAAAGTTGTACAAAATGTAAAAAGTTTGAAAATCATTTTTGCATGGAAAATGTAGTAGTCACAGTGAGGACCAGTGAGACATTAAAGTGTGATTCTGAAGCATAAAAAGCAAATTTTAAAGTACAGTAAATGTATTTTTCAGAGTGTACTACATTGTACGGTATATATCACTCCTGTTAGAGTGATGGGTGAAGAATTCACATTTTTCTGTATATAGAAACCAAACAAGAAAACATACAAAGAATAAGGATCAACAGTCTTTTTCTTCAAGTTTCTTTGTCAAGCCTTTATTGCCCCAAAGCAAACAAAATCGAACCTTAGCTCACTGGAATTAACAAAACGCCAGCGCTACAAAATTGTTTCAACTAAAGGTTCATAACTATAAAATCTCATCAAATCTTGAGTTACCTCATTCTTTGTTATTTTTGCACTCTTCCCAAGTATGAATTTCAGTGTTGGCAATATCAAATACATAAAAACAACCGAAAACAAGCTTGATATCGAGAGCAGACTTCGAACACGATGGGCGCCATTTTGTGTCTCGTCCCAGTCTCCACCGCGCAAATTCTCTATCCTGACTGCGATCTGAAAACTATGTCCACCTTTCACGGCAGTTTGTGAGGAAACAAGCACGGTGACACCCGATTTTTTTTTCGGGCATTTGCTAAGAACAGTCTAATGAAGAACATATTTGAAAAAGAAAAATATTTTGATAATAGAACATGATTTTTTTTGGAAAATAGTTCCGCACTTAGTGTATTTTGACTAAGGCGAGGACTTCAAGCTAACCACGGAACTGTCCGTAAAAGTGCAAAATCCCCTCAACCAGGCAATCAAAAGCTTTAATTTCAAAATAAAATTCTGTGTCTTTCAAGTTACCAAGGCTAAATTCTGTATGAAGGTGATTCGAATTTTTAACGCACAACCAGTAAAAATACCCATTTTAAGAGCCCGCTGACGCGTAAACAAGCACGGTGACCCCATTTTTTTATTGCATTTTTTTAATGTTTATATCATGAATGTTAATTATACCAAGTTTCAAAAAAATAAAACAATTTCAAGGGAATTACCTTAATAGTTAAAGATATAAGCCAAATGTTACATACTAAGAAAGTGGCAAGACTCAAAACTGTTCAGTGAAGCTGATATAAGTCTGATATCTACGGGTACGTGGGTCTTTTGGCGACCTAAACTATCCCATTAGAACAAAGTCTATATATTCATGAAACTATGCAGCACTGTGAACAGATGTGTTGTTTGTAAACATTCCAGACGCAAGTTTTAAAACTTATGTTATCTTAAAATCCTAATCTAAACTAGATCTTAGCTGAAACATTTAATCTCAAATTTACATTGATATCTAACAACTCCATCGCTCATAAATTTTAGAGAGTAGTTAAGTAAATCACTGAGCCGGACAGTTTTTAATAAGTTTTGTTTTTCGAATTCTCTACGTCGTAGGTTTTCACTGGATAACGATCCTGTTCTTGATCTGTCTTTGGTTCCATTTCCTTTCGTGTGACAAATAAAACTTTGCTTCTTCTTCTTCTTTTTTACAACTATGCAGCGACTACAATGAGATTAAACAGCTGCAGCACTCAAATCTTCAACATATGTTTTGAAAGAAGAATTGTCATAGTCATTAACAAACGTAAACACATCGATTTGATGCGATACCACAGCCTTGTTCTACACAAAAATCGCTCTGCTGTTACCTTCGCTCCTATCAAGTATAGCGACTGCGACGTGTCCCTTAAAGGTGACTGTGATTCCTCGGGTAGAAACCTGTTCATTCGCGGCGAGTTCAATGCTGCGAACAGATTCATGTCTGTCATCTTTTAAGGCGTAAATGGTAATTTTTACGCAGTATCCCGTCCCCATAGAATTCTTACAAGGTACAGCCACAACTACATGACTAAGTGCTTGGTGAAAAGCAATGGAGGGCCTTGATCTTTGTTTAGAAGGTCCTTCTTGTTTATCTACGTTAAACTGGAATGAATGTTTTCCATTTGGAAAAAAGACGTGAACGGTAAGAGAGCAATCATCGTCCTTGTCCAGAACAAGAATACGGCCATCTCCAGCTACAGTCAAATCTTGTGAACATTTTAAATGTTGTTCTCCGAAGCTGCGCATGAACTGCCCTGCTTTGTTGTAAACCGCCACAATGCTCTTGGAACAGCTTTGGTCCAAAACGTCGGCTATCACGAGAACTTCGTTTTCTCTGTTCAATGTCATCTTTAAGACTTTTCTGGGCTCTTCTTTGAGAGAAAAGCATTGTGACACAGCCTGCTTCGTAAACACATATACTTGGTAGTATGCAATCGTCGACTTCTCCACCTCAATCAAGATATAGGCGTTGTCACTGTCATCGGTAGCTACATCCGCAATGCTTGAGACTGTGTTGGGCTCGTCACTCGGAGGACACGGAAATGAGTACTGGAACTTGCCAAAGCGATCGTAAACTTTAACATTGCAATCCCATTCATCGCCAACAATGATGCAACCTTGTGAGTCTGCAGCAATACCCTGTGGTATTTTAAGCTGGTTGTCTTTTCCGTCTTGTTGGCCAAGTGTCAAGGGCTGGACGGAAAACTGCTCCATATCAAGTCTACAAAGAACTTCGGCGACTCTGGAGTCATGCAGTGGATTTATTGTATCCTTTCCCTCGCCGATCAAAGGTAGCGAGAGCAGTTCCCCACTTTTACCGATAATCGACATGACGTCGTAGATGGCCCGGTTTATTTGACAAACAGACGCAATTATCTGCCTGCGCTCTTCTTTGCCAAAGAGAGGTCTGCCAAAACCCTTCGTTAGTTCTCCGCTAAAACTTTCCCGCACTTTCTTCAAGGAGTGCAGATCTTCAAGAGACATTTTGCATACCGCTAACGCCTCTTGGGGATGATCCACGTTTTCGAGAATTTTTGCTGCAACACGGATGGCTATTGCTTGAACGCGATTCAACGTGCTCAGACCTTCATTATTGAACGCTTCTGTTGCTTTCAGGCGGGCCTGGTGAAAATCTTCTTTCGCAGTCAATAGCGCTCGGTGGCCTTCCTCATCCAACTTTGCCAGTTTGAAGTCTTGCAAACCCCCATAAAATGAACTCGAACGATCTGTTGGTGATTCTTGGGACGCATCCTTCTGATTTTCTGCAGATAAATCTGCGGTTAATTGTGCTGTTTTTGAGCGATAATCACCTCTTTCGTTTCTGTCTAATACTTTGAAAAGGGAAAGTAGACCTTCTTTAAACAAAGTAATACTTGTTAAAAGATGTGATTTTGCGAGTGCATCCAATTGAAATTTTATCAATTCGATTTCATTGACGACGAATTCTTCCATCATCCTTCCTGTCGTCTTCCGAGCCTTTCTCGTAAGCAAGCTAATAGCAGCCTCAAACAGATCTTTTCTATCTGAAGCCATCTCGTCTGAAGAAAAAATAGTTCGCGACAGCCTCTCAGCTTCAATCTTACGGATGTGCAGTGTAACAGCGAAAATTGTCTCTGATGAATTTCTTGTGATTATTCAAATAGAGAATCTTGTATGATCGATCCGGCGGTATCTGTCACAAAAAACGCATCAATTTTATTGAATTGACCTTTATCATGGGGGGTCTGTATGATGCATTTGTAGAAAGTTCGAGTTGTACCACATTTCTCCAGAGTTTGATTAGCTATCACAAGAGACGTGTCATGTTCCTCAAGCATGAATTTGCACAAACTAAAACTGAACTTGGTATTCAGCGTGAATCAGAATTAAAAAACCCAGAAAGAAAAAGAGACCAATCTAATTAGCATATGATGAAGTGCCCTACTTCTATCGTAATCATTTATGTTTACATGAATTGAATGCAGTGCAAGAAAGAAAAAAAAGCGTAGGTATCTATAAGATACTAGGCCTGCCTTTCAAACAGTATTGTCCGAAAATAAACACCCAGGATGCGATTTAAGAAATCCTGTTTACAAGACGCGCTTGACAGAGATAATTAAGAGCTAAAAAAATTGGGCCGTGTATTCAGTCTTTATTGTTCAAAAACGACGCTCGTCCTGCGACTATGGAATCACTCCAAATCAATTATCTGTGCTAAACTAAGCGTATGAAAAACTTTTACGCAAGAATGTCAAGATGTCATCCAAAGAAAGTAAATTTTTATCTCTCGAGTCACCACTTTTGGTTGCAGTGTAAATATTATTTTTTTTCTGGGAAAAGCAACTCGTGAAGGAGGGAGAGGCTTCGGTAAAATTTCCGCACAGCCCCATACTATTGTAAAACAAATCTGTTTTCCCAATGGCAATGTATTGTTTTAGTCATTGTTTTCTCTATTCAAGAACTGAATGCATAATGAAGTATGGGGCTGTGCGGAAATTTCCCAGAAACGTAGTTCTTTTTGTATCCTCTTTAAAGTGATGTGTTTCAAGCTCAAGTGAAAGAGCCTCACATTTTTTTTAAACTTGGATGGCCTCCAAAATGATTAAAGATATGTTACGTTTTCAAACAGTCAAAGATGTCAACGACGCGATGCAAATGAAGCTTTTTCAGACTTGAAAATACCCTTTGTTATCCCTGTGTCATTTTGTTGATGAATGGTGTCTTTATTCAAACAAGCTGTCTACTTTCGGGCCTTGTGAGACTCATTGTTTTTTCACACGTGATTGACATTGCGGTCTTTTATTCTTATTCTTATATCCTTTTCAAGTTTCATTTATTTTCAGAGCTTTCATTTTGACGCATTGATTGTCGACTGACATACCAACGTATCTATTGTTCAGTGCAGGTTGGTTAGGAGCTCAGCAAAGTAAAAAAGTGTAAGAGATGGAATTAGCATCTTCGTTGCTACTAGGTCTCTGTGGGTTTAGTTTGAGGGCTTGCCAGAGGCTAGCTTTCAAAATGCTTCAAGATGACGATACAAAATACAAAACGCTGTTGCATTTAATCATAAGCCGTATTGACGAAGTCGCGTTACTAATCAAGAATCAGAAAAAAGAGAAGCTTAAAACAAGTTTGCAAGAGTTTCAAATAGGCCTGGAATACTTGGAGAAGGAGTTAAACAACCAAAATCGTGACCAGGTGGAAAAGACACCGCGTGCAGAATTGAAAATGAATGACACTTTTGTAGAAGCATCTTTGCTGACAGAGACCATGACACATTTATCAAAGCTGGCTGACCTCGATGAAGCAGCCAAAGGGCTTAAGGATGCCCGGGAAATGTTCGAGAAGGCTTGTGATAATGCAAGGGCTGCTTTTAATAGCGATGGCCTTTCAACAGCTGAGCAGATTCTTGCTGCCAATATTGGCGTTACGGCTGCCATACTGACAAAGATTAAAGATCCCTCGAGGGCACTACCGGTTTGTAAAATTTGGCTTGGATATCTTAATAAAATGGAAAAGGTCAAGGAAATTTTTAGAAATATCTTTAGAAGCGGAAAAAAAGATCCCTTCAGAGGCGACGAATACACCAAAAACTGTTTCTTGGGTGTGTATCACACTAATAGCGTCGTTTACGAAATTAGCCGAATTGCTAAAATTGCTGACAAACACGACGAACGTTGTTGGATTTGGCCCTTCATTGAGGTGGAAAAGAAGAAAGTCGACCCATTGCGCGACATAAGAGTTTCTGAAACGCTTTCTAAAAATGGCGATATGGAGCGCTATCGCTTTCCATGGTCATTTGGTCAAGGCCCCGAAAAAGAAAAAAAGTTGAAGGTTGCACAAGACATTGCCATAAACAAAGAGGGACATTTCATAGTAGTAGACAAAGGTGATCAGATGGTTAAAATTTTCGACGAAAAGGACATCTTTTTGCGCTCTTTCCAACCCCTCAGTCGTCGATTGGCTGACGAAGATGTCTGTGGTGTAAGTACTGATCACGAAGATAATCTGTTCGTGCTGATCATGATAGATAAATATCACTACGAAGTCCGTGTGTTTGATCAAAACGGTAACTTGAAAAGCAGGTTTCGCTTGAGGGAAGGATCAGTACGCTGCTCGCTGGTCGCCAATGACAACAAGGAAATCCTTGTCATTAACGAGGAACCTGCATCGGATCGATGTGTGGTGGAACTTTATGCGCATAAGAACGGCCGGTACGTCCGCAGCATTGTGCCGGAAGACCCAGCAGAACCCAGTGAACCTGAAGAGGCAAATGGATTAAAGAGTCCAAATGAAGAAGACCCTACAGAGCCCAAAGCACAGAAAGAGACAGATCGTTATGAAAGCACCCCTAAAGGCGCCAGGAAATCTAAAGAACCTAAAGACATAGACACAAAAGAGCAAAAGAAGTCCCAAGAGTCAAACGCCCCCTTGAAACCAAAAGATATAGCTATTACTGATAATGGAATCGTATTGGTATTGAACGACGATGGTAGCGTGAAAAAATTCGGTGGAAAAACACAGCCGCATCAAATGTACGAAGAAATTAAAGCAAAGGGAAATGAAACTGTAGCATTCCATTCCCCGAGCAAACATGTCCTCATTGCGAACAGATCAGATGGAATCGTACAAGTTTCAGTGTTCAGTGAATGCGGCAAACTCGTGACCAGTTTTCATGTATACGAGGATAAGGATGTCCAGGAGAAAAAGGAATATATTGCACCAAGGATTGCAGTGACTGCGGATGGTCGCATCGCCGTGCTCAATGGATCTGCGGGCGAAAGTAAAGTAACTGTTGTTTAAAGAAAACTGTCGCCTCGTTTTGACATCAGTCAGAACCTCTCTTAAAGCCCAGAACTCCTAGTTGGTTCGGAGTGACAAAAATTGTCAGTGTTTTAATGATGGAAATTCGTGAAAAGCTGCGAACATCCTAGTGACATTTTTTTCTTTTAAGTACTGATCCATTTCGTAGACAATCCCTTTGAATTCTTAGAAATACCGGAAGGTAAACAAACGTATTGAAGGCACCGCTTCGAGTTACTTCATTTGCATGTGCATTACGCCTGCTTTCATGATATATTACCTTGCGTGCTATGGATAAAAGTACCATTATTAATATGTACAACTGATCATCTCATTGGCTATATTAGGTTTCAACGAAATTTGGTAGAAAGTGATTATTTTTAGAAACAGCGATGTTTAAGGTCACTTTTAAATTGTTTATTCAGCTAAAAGTCAATCTATTCCGACTTAGTTGGAAAATATTTAGAGTAGCAATCGCATATTAAAAACGTCGTGATCTTCAAGGGTGGACAATTGTTATTTTAAGGTCCATAAGAGTTTAGTATAAAAGAAAATTTCTTGATTTTAAGATTGTACTTTCTTATCCTGTTGTGTGCTTGACAACGTGTGCCGTCTGTACGTCTAAAACCACACAGACGCTTGTAAACTGGCGACTGCGATTGCCAACGAGGCTTCAACGTGCAGTCCTTAATAAACCACGTTCTTTTTTGTATTTAAGGACGTTAGAAAGGAAAGTTATCCTGCTGCTCCTTGCCTTACAGCACAGGAACGTTAACTACCGTTTGGTGGCGTCAGTATTTGGGAAAAAGGACGCTACTCATAGATTCTAAGGAACCAATCAAAATCAATTTACCCAGCAGTTTACCAAGATAAGTTAAGCTGGGATGTGAACCTCGCTTTCTTCTTGACTCTATCTTCCCTTCCCTCCCCCCCTCCCGGTGAGTGAAGCAGACGCGGTCGGCCCTGACAAATTTGCATAAATTAAAACTTAAGAAGGTCAACATACAGTATATTTATTGTCTTGAGCAGAAAGAAATGACAGTTGTGAATCGGTGCTTCTGTATTCTTCTAATAAATTTTTTCTTATGGGCTAAAAAAACCCGACTTGTCTCGGATGGAACTAACTACTAGGAGTTTGAATGTTAATTTTGTTAACAAAAATTTTTTGTTTTTAATTTGTTTTCTTTGTTTTGTTTTTGTTTCCTTCGTTTCTATGTTTTTTTTTTTAACTTCAGACTTCAAGGAGTCTTTGATCAGAAAATTCAAATTACAACATCAAGTACAGATAAATATCTTCTTGCCCCCATCAACACTGAGCGTACCGAATAATTGCGTATCTGTGATAAGTTTCTGATGTGATAAATTTCCAATTAAGTTATTACACGCTCACTGAGGAGCAGATGATTATCAAAACCAAAAATGGGGTCATTGTAAAATTTAGCTAAGATTAGATGGTTCAAGACATTTATAGATAGACTGAAATTGGCGCGCACTTACAACGACGAGGATCCTATTATGGAGAAACCGGTGTATCTAAAAGAAATCAGAGGTAACTTAAGAGAGGACATCGGTCAAGTTGAAGCGGAAGTTGATTCATCGATTTTTTTGATTTTACGAAACGATGGAAGGTATATCGAACTAGGTGAAGCGAAAAAATTGGCGATATCCAGGCCCAGTTATCATCGCATGCTTGATTTCAGTTGTTGCCCTCTTCTACGTTTGCTAACGGTGTCCGGAAAAATCGGCGATTGTGAATGCTACAAAAGTGGAGGTTTGCAGTTAAGTGAAAATCTCGTAAGTCAAAATAAGAGTTAACATATGGCGGTTTACTTTTTAATAGAAACACATTGAA